ATAATTTTAAATTACGATTTTCTCACGATCATCTGATTTCTTCATTGCACCCTTTTGCTGTGGGGGGTCCCATATGTCGACTGATTTCGATCAGAAAAAAATTACACTAGCAAAAAGGTCGGCCCGGTCGACCGGCCCGAGCTTTTTTAGTATCGACCCCGGCCCATGATTTTTTCATCGACCCGTATCACTAGTCCGTAGACTTGCCATATGAAATATTGGTTGCTGACTACGTCATTTACATCTATGCTCTGATATAAATCAATATTTTTGGTCATATCAATAAATATTTTTCAATACTTGACAAAAAGTTGGTACAATCGAAGAATATGAATGCACACAAATCATTACACTACATATACAAATATTGAATTAAAATTGAACTTATATGAAAATTAATGAATGTTCTATCATTTCTTTAATTTGAAGATAACAAGAACAAAGGTTTCATATATATTTACTGTACTGCATTAAAAATTTTTGTTAAAGCATTCAACACACGTGATAATTTAAAATTCTGATTTCTAGAGACCTTATACTTGTAATGCCTTTCTCGATACTTTAATGTTCTTTCCTCCTCTTTTTTTACATTTCGTAAATATTGTTCGACGTCTGGTAAGCTATATAATTGTTGTTCAAGTCTAAATATATCCTCGATAGAGGGTGAATTGGAGAGATGTTCACCATTTTCAATCTTCTTTTTAATAAGTTTTACCTTTTCATCATACTTCCTTTTTATTTCTTCAAGTCCTTCAAGGATTTCGTTATTGTAATCTTTAGAAGCATTGAATTTCCTTCTTTCAAGTTGTATAATATAGTCGAGGTATTCTGCATAAGAATCATTAAAATTGGCTATGGCATTTTGGATTAGGAATTGTGTAAATTGAATTACAATATTGCCGACCATATCTTGTTGCGCTTTTAGCTGGTCGATCTTTTCTTGGAGCATTTTTAGATGGTTTTCCTTGTCAATTTGACCTAATTTATTTTCTGGAAATTTATTTTCGTAAAATTTCTTTGAATATTTAGATTTACTCTCATAAAAAATTGGTTTATGATTTTTCGCAGGACAGCTACAAGATTTACACTTTCCAAATTTCATAGCTCCATTACGCTTCAGCATAAATGTGTTTAACTTTTTCCATTTAACATGGCAACTTTCTACTGTTTTATTAATGACTGCTTTTTGACAATAGTTATTTGTGCATTCAACTCTGGGTCGATCGAATAATTCTAACTCAAGCTCTATACATGGAAAATATAGCTTATTCATAAGTTCTTCGTCGGTTAGATCATCTCTCTGTATTTCCTTTTTTAGCCTTTTAATTGCAGCAGTATTTTCTTGAATATTTCGATTTACTTCCGCAAGAGGCTCGCAGAGTATCATTACTGTTTGTCTGGCCTTGTTAAGCGATATAGTATTAATTATTATATGAGGTGTACAGCTTGTAATATATTGAAGGAGTCTCACTGATTCTTCCGTTGATTTTTCCCAACTAGATATGAAATTTTCCTTATCGTTATCTGTAAATATCATTCCCTTCTTAACTGCAACTAGATATCTAAATGATTCGTTATCAAAACAGTATATTGTGTCTTTACAAATTTTTATTTCAATATTAAAATTTTCTTTAAGTTCTTGGAGTTGTCTTTTTAGTACTGGAAATGTATCTCCCGGGCGAAAAAAGGTTCCTCTAGTATTAGTAAAACAGAAAACGATATTATCCTTGGCACTTTTATGAAGGTGTGATAATAATTCTTGTATACAATATCTAAATATTATATTCAACCGTGCGTTGTTAGGTTTAAGGAGTATGCAAATTCCATTCAAATAGTCATATTGGCTAACGCACATTAAAATATTCTCAAAATTCTTTTTATCATATTCGATTCCTCTGGTATCACCTATTCCAGGTGTATCTATCAGTCTTATAGCTTTATTTTCATCGGGATGGAACACGTATGCTCCACATTCTTGAGTAGATGACTCGCCTACACTATCCATTATGTCATCTTCATCATCATCTTCGTCTTCATCTTCATTAACTACTGTTATCGTTTTTATTTCAAAGTCCTCGGTTGTTATCGTAAATCTAGATGCAATTAATACATCTATTTCACCGGTAAATGCATCATCTAAACTATTAAATTTAAAGTAATTTGCAAAGGCATTTATAAAAGTAGATTTTCCTGCACCAGTTTCACTAAGCAATAATATATTTATTTCTTTTCGAGGAATCTCAGAAGTTGCCATATATACAATGTCAAGTTAAAACATGCAGTTTAAGTTGATTTAAAACTTTAAGCAGCCTTTACCCTAAGTTCTGAATGAGTATA